GAAGAAGTCAAACTATAGAAACGTTTGTCCATTTAATACTAATAATAATAATAATAATATTTATTACCCATTAGACATGTATAAAACATGTATAGGGTTCGTCAACAAACAATTTACAGTATGTATATACATAAAAAAACAAACAGTAAAATGACAAGCAACAACAAACAATAGCTTAAATTAAATATTTTAAAATGGACACCATAGGCTAACAACAGCAGATAAAATAGATTAGCTAACAACCAAATAAAGTGTATGCCGGAAAAATTTATCCGTGCGGTAGAAAACACCAGATAATACGATGCTTTTCACATTTCCTTTAAATTTGTTACTCTGTTTGATTTAGTAGAAATTTATTCCCATCGAATCATGCCTCAGTATTGGAATGTACGGCTTCCATTTCCAATATTGCTTTACTCAGAGAGGCTGCAGTAAGGGAAAGAGAGAAAGAGTGGTGTTGTCCGTGAAAAGGGTGAAAGCAGCATCTATGCTTGTCAAACACAACTCTTTAATGTACAACAGGAATAATATAGGATACAATTCTGAGACCTGTCGAACTCTGAAGGACAGTTTCGTTTCCTGAGACACTACCTCTTCCACCCTGACTACCTGGTTTCTATTTGCCAAATATGATGTAAAAAGGAAAATAGTAATATTGGTGAAGTTATAGTATTTAAGTTTGTGGAATAGGAGCTTATGGTCTACAAAATCGAAAGCTTTACTTAGATCACAAAAAGTAACTGCGGAGTATTTTCAGGACTCGAAAAAACCGTGTTGTTATTTTTACGAAATCCGAAGTGGGAGCTCGCAAGATATGCGTTTTCTTCCAAAAAAGACACGAGCCTTAAGGCAGTGAATTTCTAAACTGTTTTAGCAATTACTGGAAGAAGACTGCTGGACTCTATAGTTGGAAATATTTTTCTTGTCACCCCTTTTGAATATTGGACAATTTCTGGAAAGATTCATTCTCTGCAAGACACATATTAGCCAGCCTGGTTAGGGGGATATTTATAAGATTTTTTATTGTTTTAAGAATGTTCCGACTAGTTTCAGCTTTTAGTCTGTTGATTGCCCCCAGCATTTCGTTAAATAAACTGGGTAGTTCCTTCAGTAGATTACGTGATATACTAGTAAAAACATTATTGAGTTCTCTGGTGTTTAATCAAAAGTCTTTGGTTTCCGAATACCTATGTTTATCTATCACATTCCATAATGGTCTTTATTGTGCTTTTTTGTTGTTGTTCGCAGCAATTCTGGCGTCTTTTATAGCCTTTTTGTACTTTTTTTGAACGATTTATATTCTCTATCAGTATATACTGGAGTAAGTCAACTGAAGACGTAAAAAGTATCCAAAAATTCTGTGCCGTTTTGTAGTAACAAATAAGTATTCAGATGAGTTATGTTATTTTCGGAATGGTCATTCTATTGGAGTATGCAACATTTTTCTTTTTCCGCGAACCGCTCATCAGTATTCTCAACAGTTATTTCAGAATTTCAATGTTGATGTTCTAGACGGGCGAGAAAACGTAACATTCGCAAGTGATTGTATGAATGAAATCATGATTGCCGCATCTTTGGAGATCCAAACCGTCTAAAATTGGCCATTGCCACTTGAATGAAGTTTATATGAATCTTGCAGCTTCGGCCAGTGAAGCAAAATACAGCCAAGGTTATTCAGAACATTTATATCCTTAGGGCCTTAGGGCTTGTGACAACTGCAACCCATGTTTCATTATTCATCTCAATTAATCCTTTGAAGAAACACCTACCTGCCTAGAAATAGACTATTATAATATTGAACAACTTTTATACCGTCTCATCTACAATTTTAGCAAGTAGGTATTCAAAAAAAATAGTGACTATACTATTTTCTGTGTTAGTGAATTGTACATATCACATGGCTAATAACTTCCGTGTTAATAATTAAGTATATCCTAGAATGTCAGATATTATAAGCGTGTCTTCAGTTTTATCTTTCATAAATAAATAATAATAAATAATTCTAATGCATAGCCTCTCACTACATTTTCCTTATCTGCTGTTGTGAGTTGAGTGGTTAATTCTTAGCCTATATGCATGAGCATAATAATCTGGGGTTTTCCAAAATTTCACCCTGTCGAGGCTCGTCAGTCGACTTTAAAAGAGTAAAATGAAGCTGAAAGGCAAACTAAAAAATGATTAAATAAGACATTATTAATGAATATGATTAAAAAACATTTTTAGTTGTTCAAATAATAAATAAAAATTCATGGAAATGCAAATCCTACTTTATACAAGAAGAGACAAATATCACCCCACCAAATCTAACGTACGTCAAAACTCCAGCACCAGCAAACTGGTTTAATGAAAAAACGACCTCATGTCTGACGTTTCAGCTGACGTACAGCGAACATGCAAACGCAGTAGTGGTCGCTGGTATTGTCTGAGAGAACGTATACTAGGACAAGACAGACAAGGTTGATACGATTAGAGAGAGAGAGAGAGAGACAGACTGACCAGACCATGTGACAAAATGACATTTTACCACGTATTGTTATTTAGCCATAATATAAGTGCAGTGTTCCCACAATTCTATTTGGATGATGTTATTGTTAATCACTTTTAGGAAATAGCTGAGCATTTTTGTTCAAATTTACTTTTATTCAGACATACATCGATTTATGGTAGATATATTTATCACCAATTTGCAGTCTACCAGAAATATTTTCCACCCAATGTGTACGTTACACGTTGGAAAACATTAAGGTAAGTGTATCGATTGGAGTAATCACTAAAGCCGACGTATATTGATTCTTCACGTTCCCTAGTAGATTCCATGGTAAATAATATTAGAAGCTTCATTAGATATTACGAGTAGATCAATGATAATGTATTTTAGAAAATAATATTCTTAAAATGTGACTTCAGTTAAATATTTTGTTGTTGTGTGCAACATATACTAAGTGACATATAAATCCGAACACCCAGTTTAAATGGTTTTATTTTAATAAAATTTTGTATAAGTACTTAATGAAGCATAATAAGTAAATGATAAAATTTTCAAAATGATTGCACTGCTTTAAAGCCCTTTGACCTTTAATAATGTGTGGATGCACCCTGATGTGCTACGCATTCTCCAACGCGCCTAGGCATGCCTTTGATCAGGTGGTCAATGTCCTCCTGTGGTATCTCATTCCAGGCAACCACCAACTCCTCTCGAAGTGCTTCTAGAGTCTGAGGAGGACGTTGCAAATTGAGCAATCTCCTACCCATCATATCCCACACGTGCTCAATTGGGGATAAGTCGGGAGATCTTGGTGGCCATGGTAACAATGTGACATCATTATGTTGAAAGAAGTCTATTGTGACTCTTGCAACATGTGGTCGGGCATTATCTTGTTGGAAAGTTGGATCTGCCAGGGTGTCAAGATAGGGTAAAAGATGGGGTTCCAGAACTTCGTGGATATAACGCTGCGCGTTCATGTTACCTCTGATAAAGATTAAAGGTGACCTGGAACCATAAGCTATAGCATCCCAAACCATAACTCCAACAGTGTGATGAACATGTCTTTCAACAAAAAACTGTGGATTCCTCCTTTCACCACGTCGCCTTCTAACCCTGGCACGACCATCGTGCATGCCTAAACAAAATCGAGACTCGCCAATAAAGATAATACTGTTCCATTCCTGATCCCAGAGTGACCGTTGTCTGCACCACTCAAGGCGATTACGTCGGTGTAAGGGTTAGAAGGCGACGTGGTGAAAGGAGGAATCCACAGTTTTTTGTTGAAAGACATGTTCATCACACTGTTGGAGTTATGGTTTGGGGTGCTGTAGCTTATGGTTCCAGGTCACCTTTAATCTTCATCAGAGGTAACATGAACGCGCAGCGTTATATCCACGAAGTTCTAGAACCCCATCTTTTACCCTATCTTGACACCCTGGCAGATCCAACTTTCCAACAAGATAATGCCCGACCACATGTTGCAAGAGTCACAATAGACTTCTTTCAACATAATGATGTCACATTGTTACCATGGCCACCAAGATCTCCCGACTTATCCCCAATTGAGCTCGTGTGGGATATGATGGGTAGGAGATTGCTCAATTTGCAACGTCCTGCTCAGACTCTAGAAGCACTTCGAGAGGAGTTGGTGGTTGCCTGGAATGAGATACCACAGGAGGACATTGACCACCTGATCAGAAGCATGCCTAGGCGCGTTGGAGAATGGGTAGCACATCAGGGTGCATCTACACATTATTAAAGGTCAAAGGGCTTTAAAGCAGTGCAATCATTTTGAAATTTTTATCATTTACTTATTATGCTTCATTAGGTACTTATACAAAATTTTATTAAAATAAAACCATTTAAACTGGGTGTTCGAATTTATATGTCACTTAGTATATTTTTTAAAAAATGAATATGGGGATTAGTTAATCAACGATAGTAAAATTATGTTATCCCATTCAGCTCTTTTCATATATAGCGGTTTCTAGATTTTCTGGAAAATTGGGAGTGACGCCCTCTGTCATCGGTTTGCCAGTTCGCTCATAGTTAGCTCTGTTTTTTTCTATGAAATGTGCTAGAACAGGTAACCAGTGCCAAACCAATGTGAAGGGATAAGGTGAATGAAGGCGACCAGAAAACTTCAGATGCATTTGGCGTACTGTCCATGTGATAGGACCAAATGTGAACGCCTTTTGTCGTTACATGTCCGTTGGTTTATCAAAAAGCTAGATGAAGTCAGGAAAAAAGTAAAGCTATAGGAAAAGAAAGAGGAAACAATACACAGTTTAGGAGAGTACTCCAGAACTGTCAATAGTGAACTCAAGGTAACATGTAGACAGTGTTGCAGCACGATGTTCATTTTATGATCCAGTGTGACTCCAGCTGTTTCGCTATCTCCGTGATGGGAATAATGGTAAGCAGTAAGAACACAACAAAAATCGTTAACGAAATAAGGATACAGATAGATACGAAGCGTACACAAAATCTACCTTCAACTACCTACACCCAGCACCCGTCCTCCACCAAACTCAGCACCACCAACCACTGTTAAAAAGAACAGAGATTCACGCCCTTACCGCCAGTCTTGAGTTCTGCCATCGCTGGCACATAGATGGTATTGGCATCGCTGGCCACCGATCTGCCGTCCATGGTGCGCACGAACAGCAGGAGGTCCTTGTAATCCGGAGGTAGGTCGGAGACGGTGATCTCCTCCGGGTTCCGTGAAGTCGCTGTGGCCAGCAGAAGGCGGGTGCCTGCATCGAAGGCCTGGAGCAGGTACGTGTTGGAGTAAGCGCGGTGCACGTCGGGCACGTGGCAGCCCACGGACAGGTAGTAGCGGGTTTGGTGGAGGACGGTGCAGTTCTCGGGAGGTGGAGGTTTTTCTGATACTAGGAGTGTGGCTGAAACATATAGAGCAGCGGCCAGTGTTGCTATGTTTAGTTATGTTGGATAATTTTATTGCAATTAACCGTTATTCTCGATTACACCTCGCTTTGGAATATAATAATAATTCCGGCTCTATTAGGGCGAAATTTAATCATTTTCTTGATGCCATTTTAATATATTTTTAATATATTGTGATTATTTTAAATATCTTGCGTTTTATTTGACTTTCTGTACAATTAATTAGTTTACGTTATTGCTATTAGATTCTTTTCTTTTGTGTGGGTGATGAAGCAAAACAAGTTCCGACTAACATCTCGGGGATTTCTGGTTTAACCCGCCTTGTGTTACTGGAGCTCTCCGCTTTATTGAGCTAGGGTCCAAATTTGCACGCCACAGACAGCTGTTTTGCATTGACTCACTATTTGATTTTAATTATCAAGTTCCATTAATTTACTGATTAATTAGAAAAAAAGGAAGGATGAAACACACCACCAATTAGTGGCGCTCCCAGGATTTCAGTCTGAGAGGGGTAAAATGGAAAGTAAATTCTCAGTGAGACGTACTGAAGTGTTATAATGATTTAACAATAAAATCATGGACATATGTAGACATATAAATTTGTTACAGTAACTCCTGTAGAAAATACACACAGTTTTTTTAATTTTGAATCATACGAAATCAAAGTGTAAATAAAGCAAACCAAGCTCGAGCAAATCTTCATATATTAAAACAAAAATGCAAAATAATACAATCTATCACAGACTTTCTACATATGTCAGACAAAACAACAAAAAATACATCTTCATGAAAAAAATAACAATAACAAATATGTTACGACTTCTATAAAGTATAAAACTGAATGTAAATTAAAATAGAATTCTTAATTATGAGAAAAACACCAAAAATATTCATTGCATTCTCTTAGCGAGTCTCAAAAAACAAAAACATATAAACTATGAAACATCAGTTTACAGTATCAAAATAAAACAATCATTACATTAGCTTAGAAAGTGATTTGAACATAATTTGAACAGACTTTCATATCAATCTCCTGGCCAATAAATAAAACCACATATCTGGATTGGATACTTTGGAAAAGATCACCGTTGTGGTTTAAACGTAAGTAAACCCTTAACTACATCTGCTTTTTTATTTATTGGCCAACGGAAGTAAGATGGATTTGAGAGACAACCTTAAGCAAAGTTTAGGTGTTATCATATTACAAAATCAAGGCGCCTATTATTTTTGCTGGCAAACCGCTCTATGTATTCATGTCTATTTTAATATCCCTATGCATATACAAAAGAGCTATACCCACTAATCGCTCTTGTAACACAGTGGAGCGCAGCCAAGCTTTTATCGTCTTTAGATGGGAGAAACTTCCGTCAGATGTCGCAATACTTACCAACAATGAAATCAATAATTGTAGGTATCTATTAATTGAAGGAAAAATGCTTTAATCACATGATAAATACAGTGATATTCCACTGTCTATAATATCTTGTGTACGTGACTTCCAAAGGTCAAATTCTGCTTTTAATCTGGTACTTATTAAATTTTTGCTTTCGTTACTATTTAGTCCATGTAAATATTTAGAGATTGTTTCTAATATGTCCATTACTTCAGCTTCAGTTTTTGAATTAGATATTGACGCAAAAAAATATTAAAATTGTATATATTCAAAGATTCTTCATTGAACCGGTATACGAAATCCTGTAATATGTTATATTATCTAGCAAAGGTTCAGTCTGTAATGATTTTCATTGTCAGACATAACTATGTTCGGTCTGTTCATTTGCCTGCTTGTTATTCTTGGCACAGCCAGTTCAATACCCATTTCCTATATAGTTTCCTATGAGTTTAACGGCGTATTGTTTGTTTTCGATTGTAAAATCTTACTCAGGTTGACTGTTAAAGCTAATGTATCACACAAACACTTTAGTGATACGATAAATTGGGTGGAAGTAGACTCCGTTTTTGAAGAAGCTTCGCGTTCTTTCCAATTTGATAAAATATTTAGTACCTCTACAATTTACTTGCATTTGCTTTCAAATTGGAGCACAGAATCATGTCTCTCGGTCCATCGTGTTTCGCACATACTATGAATTTGATATCCGTCTAGTTTAGACATGATTCTTTTATAGTATAAAAATTAAAAACAAACAAAATTAATTTTCTGGCTTATGCGTGGAAGATAAAAAATCAATAGAACATAGAAAATACCGTTAATACCAACCAGATCAACAAAACTCCGCTTGTTTACTTCTCAGCCAAATTTTGTTGCGGACTCCGGTCTGGTACAGAATTTAGATACTAGACTAGACCATAAAAGACTAGACTATACCTGGCCCACCGTTGCTGTTGGTGGGAGAGTAGTCGCTAGTTGGATGCGCACTGAGCGGGTTGTCAGTGTTGCCGCTGTTGCCGTTTACTTTATACCACCTTTTCAAAGACTGCTCGAGTCGTCTGGGGGGGGGGGAGGTTAATTACCCCCTTTACCACCCCGTGGGAGCGCCAGTGCCACCATTTCCTTTTTGTTTTTAAAAAAAGGAGGAGCAAACTTATTATGTGCAAGATGTGTAAAAATATGATACCGTACCAGTATGTTTCTCGGCTGACTTGAGTGTAGCAGCCAACAACTGCATTACCGGACTGCGGCCCTTCCTGTTGACAGCGTATATGTTGACTTTGAACCCTGCGCCCGCGTCCAGCCCGCCCACACCGAAAGCGGGCTGCCGCGCTGTTACGTTTCCCACTAGCCGCCCGCTGGCAGCGTCATAAACTTCCATGACGAACTGTTGACGTAGACCGCCATCGAAGCCTTCTGAGCATTCCAAGCTCAGCGAGTCTGAGGTCTGGTTCAGGATGGTGCAGTTTGAGGGCGGGTCGGGTTTGCCTGGAAAGAAGGTATTAGCTTTAACTCAAGATACCAATAGCTCAAGGTCTGATGAAAAAATTACAGTAGATAGCTCCTACGGTACACAATACAGAATGGGATGCGTGCCTGCATTTGTATGCTTTATTTTGTGCTATACGCCACAAGGGTTACCTGTATTTTGTGTGTAAAAAATCACGGAGTTCAAATGTCGCCAATTCTTGACTGAGAGATACCAGAATTCCTTATGCAAACCATTTGAAAAAGCGTCCCCGAGGATACTTCTATTTTTCCTTATAAGTCGTAATTAGGATGCTTACCACTTGAAATTGGATGAAAAGTTTACACTTTTTTAGACCCCTAAGGATCAAAATAACATATTTCCTCAAATAAATCACCGTAGCGTTGGTGATTAACATTAAGGGTCACAATGAAGCCTGCTCAAAGGTATATCGATTTATATTGTGACTACATAATTATATACACAGGGTGTTCCTTAATGATAGAATATTTATGGGTGTGAATCTACATGAAAAATTAATGCCAGTTTACTTTATAAACTATGGTCCAAAAATGTTTCCTTACAAAAACTCGGGGTGTTGGTTTTAGGAAAAAATGGAAATTAATTAATATTTTCAGAACCGCTTCAGATATTTCCCTGATATTTAGTACGTGGCGAAAGTTAATATAGTTGCATATTTTTTAATGCAAAAATAATTTTTAGCTTTAACAGTGACGTGTGTACGGGTATTGACTTCGATATTTTTTAAGAAAAAATAGTACGCCAATGGTTTCTATCCAAATAAAAATTATTTTTGAATTCCGCCATGTCAACAATTTTTGTAATCATTTCGTTGGTTTTAATGTTATGTTTATGTAGTCAGTTGTTGCTGCTCATTACGCCTAATGTGTTTAATTTTCCCAATTAAATTAATAATAATTTTGCAAGTTAGACAATAGAACGACTTATATTTTTATACTCAAAAATGGCGCATCGAAGGTAAACAGTTCAAGAAAGAATAATTTTTTTTTTGGCAAAAAACATTGGCGTATTATTTTTTTCTTCTTAAATATCGATGTCAATACCCGTACGCGCGCCACTGTTAAAGCTAAAAATTATTTAGCGTTGAAAAATATGCAACTTTACTAACTTTCACTGTTCAGTGAAATGTCTGAAGCGGTTCTGAAAATATTAATGAATTTCCATCTTTTTTTCTAAAATTCCAACACCCCGAGTTTTTGTAAGGAAACAATTTTGGACCATAGTTTATAAAGAAAACTAACAATCATCTTTCATGTAGATTCACACCCTTAAATATTCGCATATCATTAAGGAACACCCTGTATAATAATATACTCTATGTATATTTGTGACAGCAATACCTGTGTACATTTGAAAAATAAAAACGATATCAATTAACACATAAGTAATCACTGAAGCTGCATTTGCAGCTTGTGTGTGATTTTTTGATTTTTTTTACAACCTTACAAAGGCTGCATGAAATAAATACCACAGTGAATTTAAATGGCATCATGGTTTTGTCGGATCGCTTATGCGAAATGGCTTTTTTCTGAAAAGCCTATAAGCAGTTACTATTTCAATTGTATCCGCGGTTGTATATCATGTATTTCAAATAGACCGCCTCGGATTGACAATACTTATTTCTGTTACATCATTATAACAGCTGCTCAAATATACCATTGCCCAATAAACTGATACAAGCCCAGGGTGTGAACATCAATCAGGCAACAAATTCGGTAAAAAAACACTATAATTACATATAATAGTCTCTGTACGTACTTGGCAGGCATTAGAGGGTCGGAGTAATGATGATGTATTTTATTGCTTTATGCTCTACTCGTACTTCAGGGTTGCTTAGCAATAAAGTGTAACGTTCATTTTCTGTTTTATGTCATGTTCCAGTCAAATCACTATTTATTGAGTCCATTCCGAAATAACTGTAAAAGTGTGAAATTTTCGTCAACTTAATCAACTTTTATAGGACTGGCGTCAATTTAAAACCGAAAAGATAATATAATTTTAGGATTATCTGCGCAGTTAGTGGAGCTAACACGGCATAATAGGAAAATGTCCATTGGCAAAATTGGTCGTATGCTCTGATACGATTACTAAGCTACTTTTTTTGGTGGAACTGCATGTAGGAATGCTCTGAAAAACAGTTTTTGCTGATGTAGCCCGCAAGGTAACATAGAGGACATTTATTACTATTAGGATTAAAACTTTCTTCTTCAGACCGGCCCAAAAATCAATAGAGAATATTTGAAGGTCAAACGTTTATGGAAAATCTGGGGACAGTTCGTACTGGTGGATAATACTAAGGATACGTTCAGTTAGACTGCAAGGTAAAATAAATATCCGTGACTCTAGGATATTCCGGTTTTTGGAACAATCTTAGAGATTACAGGAAAATATGATATTCTAATGTTTCAGGGAGACAAACTTGCAATGACTACCCCCAGGTTCCCTATACTTTTCACCGCACGGATGGTGGCTCAAATAATACTGTCGAAATAGTTACTGTTTAAAACCTTAACGCAGAATCTTTCTCCGCACGGGCGTGCCCAGCTCAAAACGGAAGGAGGGCACATTCAAGAAATGTTTTGGAGGAAGTTTTACAAATCATACCTACTAAACTAGGCTTGATCTTTTTCTTTCTATTTGCATTCCATTGTTTTATCCATTTATATAGGGCCTTCCACGACCATTTGACAATCCACATGGATATGGAAAACTACTGGGATTAATTTTTGGAAACATTCTAGCAAATATAGCGCGAGATGCGTGTTGAAGTATTTAGTCGTTTGAAACCAACACTTGAGATAATGAGCCGTATTCATAAAACAAAGGATATCCTTGTACTTGCAAATTTTGAAGGAAATCCTATAGATGGTATTTATAATAATTTGAAGTAAATGCTTTTGCTTTTTGAGTATAAGCAGTGTCATAAGTAAAAGCATATTCATAATCCTCACCTTATACTTGGCATAGGAAGCATATCCTTCAAAAATTCTGAGTGTGGTCAGTAGCAGACTCAACTTCGTAACGAAAGGTGCTCAAACGATGATGGCGGAAATTGTGGATGTTAGGGATGTTAAAACTTACAAACCTCGTTTGCCTTCACTTGGTCGTGACTTCAAAAATTGTATCGGTTCGACGAAGCAAATGTACAATGGCTTGCGGACAGATTTTTAGTTGAGAATGAGGAAACTCGAGGAGGAGCACTTTCATGTATGCATAAAATGCAGATATGTCTATGCTATCTCGATGACCCTGGATATCAACAAGGTATTAGTCAGGAACTTCGTGTTAGTCAAACAACGGTATCTCAGACTGTGGATAGAGTTGTGAACAGCATAGTTGCATAGTGGAACGAATGGATCAAGTTTACAACTACCAACCATGAACTGATGGATGCCAAGCGGATATGGCAAAGCATGTATGAATTTCCGACAGCAATTGGCGTAATTGATTGTACACATACTCGTATAGGAATCCTGAAACCAAATCGCCATGGAGATGAGTATATCAACCGAAAAGGGAAACCTACTTTAAATGTGCAAGCCACTTGTGATGCCAGAGAGATGTTCACAAGTGTTGATGTCAGTTGGCATGGATCAGTGCATGATTCCAGAATATGGAGAAATTCACAGACTAGATCAGAACTAATAAATAAAGTAAATGTTGTACTACTTGGCGATGACGGTTATAGTATTGAGCCATGCATTATGGCTTCCTTCAGAAATCCTACTCCAGGTGCAGAAATAAATTATAATAAGCTTTTAAAACAAGAAAGAGTTATGAATTGCACGCTGTTTCGGCCAACTGAAACGCCGGTTTCCTATCCTACAGTATGTTTGCCGGGTAAAGTTGGAAAATTTTTCGAAAATAATTATTGCTTCTATTGTACTCCACAATGTTGCGAAGAGCTTGGGCGATCCTGACTTTGAGTTAGTTGAACAAGACCCAGCTGAAGATGAAGGAAATCTTGAGGATGACGAACTTTCTCTTCGCCGACTAGGTCAACAAATAAGAAGAAACTTGAGTATTATAATAAATAGTTTTACTGATAAAAGTGTATAAATAAGTTATAATAAGTTTTATTTTCGTGAACATCATAACTTACTGGTGGCTTCTGATGCTGCATCATTTCCAATTTCGTTTTATAAAATACTCTTGTTGTAAAATATTTCTTTGGTACTGCTGCAATAGCACTCGACGTTGCAGTTGTAGTTTGAACCCTTTAGTTTCCTCAGTTTCGTATTTTTCTGTTGCTAATTTTCTTTTTGGTGGCAATGTCTTCTGAATTGCCGAAGCTATAATACTAACTGTTTACTCACTGTGCTCCGTATATAGTTCACTTCCTTCTTCTTGAACACTACCAACCTGAATGGCACCTCTAATTTTCCCAATTGTAGGATTACTGTCACCTTCCATAGCTTTCAGCAACTTTCTTTCCCAATCTAACAATTTAATTGCTTTATTACCAGTTTTTTTTAATCTGTTTTTTTCTTCAATCTTGATTTCATGTTGTTGTTTTTTTTTGTCGCTCAAGATACAAATACCAGTCAACCTTTGACTTCTTCTTGGAGGATATCCTCGCGAGTATAAGGTAATCATTATGAATAAGAAAACAAGGATATGCTTCCGAGTATATGTGCACAGCTTAGAGTAATATCTTGACAGCAAGGAGCAGCTTGTCTGTATAACCCTGAAAGGTGTTGGGCATTTTCATCTGTAACCTTGATTAAACAGGGTGTGCCGCAGGGATCAATTCTGGGATCGTTGCCGTTCCTGCTCTATGGGAATGGCCTTTGTGACGGATTTATGGGAGGTCTGATTTGCCAGTATGTGGATAACACTACTATTGTGCTGTCTGTGTCGGACATGTCTGGCTTGTTCCGGGTCTGTTCCTGTGCAGTGCGGACCATGCAGGATTGGTGCAAGGATTATGCATTAAGATTGGATGCTGATAAAACTGGACTTGTCACATTCAGTAAATCTACCAGGGGTGAATCACTGTTGGTTGTTGCAATAGCGGATCAATACCAGATATTACCGATATAAAGTCTCTGGGCGTTTACCTGGATTCGAGTCTGAATTGATTGTCAAACATCTGTTTCAATTGGTAAACTCTACTACAGCTTCTGTGCGTTGGTGACACTTTAAGGCAATTTTATTATGCATCTGTACAGTCATTGTTAACTTATAGTATATTCTGGACCTCTTCGCGGGGTGACATGGCAGTTTTTATAGCGCAAAAGCGCATCCTGAGGTGAATTTTGAGACTTCATCCTCGAACATCATGTCGGGAACATTTTTCAAGATTGGGATTCTTGGCGGTTCCATCCCTGTATTTTTGTCACTTGTTTCATTTGTTAAGAAGCATATGTATCTTTTTAATAGTAACGCACATTGTTATGTTGAAAGTATGACCTTTGTGACCAGAGGCAGAGACAATCTGAGTGTGCCTGCACATTAGTCCACATTTTTCAAGAGGGCTCCATTTTACATGGCTGTTAGAACTTTTAATATGCTTCCTGTCGCTATAAAACCTGGGAGCAGCCTCATTAGGTTCAAAAAAGCGGTGAAAAAGTTTTTGCTGGGCAGATATATGTATAGCTTTAATTTCAAAATGTGAGCTACATCATTTTATTTTAATAATATTTTAAGTTAATTTTAACATATTGGACTTGTGTTTGACATTTTAACAGTTTTTAATATACATACATGTACAAAAAAATTCAATTTTGGCCGGTTACCCTTGCACAATTTTTGATATTTTATTTGATGCATTTCTGACATTTTTTTTTAAGTTATACCTACTTATGGTACCTAAATGTTATTTATATTTCCCATTTTGGTATTGTAGTACATTTCTACTTTTCTTTGACGTTGCTTATGTTTTACTTGTAAAATTTTGCTGGTAATAAAGATTATTATTATTATTATTATTATGATTAATATTATTATTATTAGGATATACATCTAGAGACCCACTAAAAAGCGACTATCTTTTTTAATAAAAATATACAGGGTATTCCATTTAAAAAAATTTTGGATAGTAATTTTCTATAATAAAAGACATTGCCTGAAAAATCTTATGCTAAGATGTTATATTTTTCCCTTTAATATCATGCAAAACAGTTAAAAGGGGGAGACCCCGTACTTTATATTTTCTGGATATCGAAAGTTGTAAGTATAATCTGCCAAATATCATGATCATCTTCTATATACTATATATGTATATGTTAATATAATACGCACTGGGTTTCTTATTCGCTGCCAGAATTTCCTAAACAGGGCCTGTAACACAAGTTTTAGTTAATTCTGTAACACAACGCAGATAACTACATTTGCAATTAATGAGTAACATATTACAATTATGGCTACATATGTAGCCTGTCTTACATACCAGCATACCACTACCTATGAAAACTTGTAGAGGCATATTTTAGATAGATTTTGTGATTTAGGATCATATTTTCTCTCTACATCATGTGTATTATAAATATACCGTGACTCTAACATGTATCAGGTAAAATAACGTGAAAATCTTTTAATGAAATGAAAGAAAATAAGCACACCCTTTTTGGAGCTTCTGTGTATCGCACACACCGTGGTAGTAGTCTCCATTCCTGAGCCAGTCAAGCGCAATTATCATCTTTTGAAGAGAAGTTAGTCCGTACTACCGAATTGTTTTGTTCGCAAACGTTGGTCGTATATCACTGAGGAGGTTTAACAATTGGAGTCTGTTCAGATGGAATCTATCAATGAACTCAAAGTCACTCAAACAACTGAAGACGCGTATATAGTCTATTTTCATTTTCACTATTCGAATCATTTGACCATGATGATGTTCACAAGAACGAACTTATTCGTACAAGTGTGGACGTTGTCCCACCATCACACACTTAGTTACGATATAATTATAAATGTGGAGTTAATTTTTACAATTGCACATCCTGCAGTGTTTGTATTATACACGGCCCAGATGGTAGCTTTTTCACGTGTCGAAGTATTACTCTTGGCAGCTACTTCTTTCTTCACTATCTGTTATATTTGATCTATTTTTGAAACACTGTCCATAACAAATTAGGATATAACTGTACTAGTATTACTCACCAGCTGGATTAATGTAGAATACACAAGGCTCCTTCTGCATGCCAATCTCATTCCTGCCCCAGCACAGCAGAGTACCGTAGTCCATCTCCGAGATAGGTTTGTAGTATGCGTAACTCCGTGCCTTTTCCGTTTGAATCTGGCTCTGGGGGATGTCGTAGGCTTCAGAGGTGTTATTGAACTTCCATATGAACTGGACGTCCGTTGGGTTGGCCTCCAGCTCGCACGCGATGCGGATAGTTTCGTGGCGAGCTACTCCGAAGACCTTAGGCTGACCGGGTCGGCAGGTTGGAGAGACTGAAGAAAACTTGTCGTTTTAGTTTGTTTGTATCATCGTGTTCTGATGGGGCTGATTTTTTACTCGTTAGACGCGAATCTTTGTAAGGACTATTTGCACATTAAATTTGAAGTCCGCCTGTTCTGTTCCAAGGCTTTTTTGAAGCAAAGCACACTTTCAAATGAGCAATTCCGGACGGACAATGACACGACATTATCTGTCTTACTAATTAAAAAGGGTAAGAGATAGAGCAATATTATATACGATGAATCGAGCATATACAGGGTGACTTCGAAGTTGAGTCATTTATTTTAAAAGTGAGTAGATCTGATCAAAAGACTTGTTTTTTTCCTTTAACATTTTTGTGGTAAAATTAAAGTAACAAAGTTATAGCTCTTTAGAAGTTTGAGTACCGCCCTGTCTCAATAATAATATTATGTGCTCGTGTTTGGCAACAACGGATATAATCCGCCTTATCGGTTCATCCCATCGGAAACAAAAAAGCGAAAGAATTTGAAACGCTTATCACGATGTTTTATTCATTTATTTTATTCAGTTGTATTCAGTCAATGTGTCAGTCGGTAACGCGTGAATGAATAGTGGTGTTTGTTGCGTGGCTCAAACGAAATAAAAAATGGCACATGTTTACGAAAATGCTGAACTTGTGGACATGGGTGGCTCGTGAATCAGGTGACTTAAGACCTCACATGGGAGGGCATGCCGGTGCTCCAACCCGCACGATCAAATACAGGTCCGCTCTGAAATACTTGTCGGGAGGATACTTTATAAAACAAGGTAACATTTTTTTTTTATTTTTTTTTATTTTTACACACATATTTTGGTATATCTTCCTTCTACAATCATTATCTGAAAATTAATGAGTCAACTTCAAAGTCACCTTGTATATTTCTCATTTTATTCGAAGGAATCTCAAATTATAGACCAGGATGTATACAAGCTACAACAGAATTATATCCTTGAGGGTATACGGAAAGGTCCCTCTACCGAGAAATACCGAAAATTTGGCTAGCTCACTTTTTTTATTAAACGTCAAGTTTTTCGCACATATTTAAATAGTTATAAATTGTTGGCGAAGTGGCCCAAGAAAGTTGTTGAGGATGAGAACACCTTCAAAATGAGAAAAACGGCCTTTGTCGTTCTTATCAATAAAACAATCATCAACTGTTTCTGTATTTCTAATTGTTACTAATTGTTTTGAGAAAAATGGCTTTTTGACGAGTTGTCCAGGATCTTTGGATTAATCATATTGGACTCATTCTCTTGCTAGAGGTCTAGTTTAATATTGCGTTTAATAAGCGTTGCCAATGGTACATCTATTTTAGCCAACAATTAGATTAAGCCTCGTGGTTTTTTGCAGTCGTACGCAAAAAAGTTTTTTTTCCAACTTTGTCTTTGTCTAGCTTAACTGAAACATCTTTAAAAATATTCACAAATCGCTGTCGCTTGTCTTTACTACAGACTAAAATGATGACGTAATCGTCATCTTTCGTGATTTCGACTATAGTAACTTTCTATATTTGAATAAAAACTAGCGGCAAAAAAGCCGTATGTCACTTACTAACGTAACCTTGGACTTTCTTGGCGTAAAAACTGGCACCTGCGATATTACTATTATTTATTTAGATTGTAGTTATAGCATTCGAAGGGCACGTAAAAACAAAAGAAACCTTTATATGATGGGTATTTTGTTATTAGTTGTAAGGTGGTACATACGTCGAAATTAAATCTGAAATGTATCTGGAAGTCTGGCAAAACGTTACTGGGAACTTGACATTCTGCATCCGGTTTAGCCTTGTTTCGCACTCAAGAGCTACGGTATGCACTTGACTCCTAATACATTTTGTGCCGCATACAGTGTGGAGAATACATAGTGCTGCTTTGTGTAAATACCCTACCTTGACATGATGTGAAGATTACTTCACTCTTGTACAGTTGATTAATTATCATTACTTAAATACAACACTGGCTATTTTTTTTTGAATTTTAAACAATATCTAAGTAGCCTAGATCCAGTTTATCGTACTTCAAGAGTATCAGTAAGCGTATTGCACAGAAAGATGCAGCAGTACCCAATAGGTGTATCACTGTCGTGTTTCGCTTATACTTAATAATAATAATAATAATAATAATAATAATAATAATAATAGCGTTTATTGTCCAACAGTTACCCCATTTATAGGACAATTACATAGGCACAATTAAATAATATTCAGTGGTGTTAAAAAAAAAAAGAAGTTATTTCAAATATAAATAAGCCATTCTAACTACTGAGTTAAGCGAACAAGTAAATATATCACAATGACAGCTAATACAATTTAGATGTTTACACATAACATATATAGGAGATTTGACTAACAAGTTGGTCCTAGCTCTTGATAGCTTAAAAGTTACATAGTTGCGTGAAGAGAACGAAGGAACATTGAAATTAATCTGTGCCAAAATGACTGGGGAGTCAATAATGCTATTTAGCAGTTTAAAAAGGAATATGGCAGATGAAACTTTCCTTCTGCATTCTAAACTATGAATTTCAAAACGCTCACATAGTTCCATATTGCTAATGCCTTGCTCAGGGTAAACTCCTTCAGATTTGAAGTATAGAAACTTTAGAAATTTTCTTTGGACCCTCTCAATATCATTTATATAAGTCTGGTAATACGGATTCCATACAACACTCGCATATTCTAGTTTTGTACGTACATATGTAAAATATAAGACTTTTAAGGCCCTTAAGTTATCAAATCGCTTACAGTTCCTGATAATGAAACCGTAAGACCTAAAGACTTCCGAAACTTTCCGCGAAATATGAGTAGTAAATGTTAATTTATGGTCATATATAATACCCAAATCTTTGACTATATCGCTTCTTTCCAGCACCACACCATCGATATTATAGTTGAATACACAAACATTTTTCTTTCTGCTATAGCTAACTACTCTGCACTTACTTATATTTAGATGTAATTTATTGAGATCGCACCAAATCCTAACACTACTTAACTGCATCTGTAAATCTAAGCAATCCTGCACGTCACTGATTGATGAATATATCTTCATATCATCTGCAAAGCATAACTGTTGACCATTCATACTTTCACAAAGATCATTTATGAATAATAAAAATAACAATGGTCCCAAGTTGGACCCCTGGGGAACACCAGATGGGGCTAAGTAGGTTTCAGATTTGAAGCCATTATATTCAACAAATTGTTTTCGCTCTGACAAATACGACCTGAAGAATGTTATAGCGCTAAGTGAGAGACCAAAGTGACCAAGTTTCATCAACAAAACCCCATGATCAATTTTGTCAAATGCCTTTGAAAAATCCGTATAGATCACATCAACTTGGCAGTTATCATCTAGAGCTTCAGAAATATATTGGGTTAAAATAACCAAATTGGTGACTGTAGATCGGTTGCTGACAAAACCGTGCTGTTTTTGTGATATTTGATTTTTTATTGAAGGATACAAGCGATTGTACAAGATTATTTCAAAGACTTTCGCAAAAATGCATATAAGAGAAATTGGACGATAATTCTCGACATCTGATTTTTCTCTATTTTTGAAGACCGGACAAACTTTGGACACCTTCCATATATTCGGGAATATATTAGATTTTAAGCACATGTTGAATAAGAGAGTAAGTACAGGAGAAAAAGCTCTAGCACAGTCCTTTACAAGGAACGAAGGAATACCATCAGGACCCGAAGTCATCTTATCCTTTAGCTGACTAATGGCTAAAATAACTTCGCTATCCTGGATAGGAGCTAAAATTAGATGGATGTTATGGTTAACGTGCTCAACGATATCAACGTTTAAGTCTGATTGGTGGTAAACACTGCTGAAAAAGTTAGCAAATACATTGACAATCGACTGAGGCTGACAGTACGTATTGTTTTGATACTTCATTTCGCCAGGAATTCGTGATGTACTATTTTTCATGTTCGTGAACGACCAAAATTTCATTGGATTGCTAACTAAACTGTTCTGAACATTCTCCATGTAGATATTATACGCCCTCTTTATTTGAGATTTGATTGAACGGCGCAGTCTCTGAAATTCTTCAAGATCTGACTGATGTCCAAGCTTAGCAAACCTTTTCCTGTATTTAGCTTTTTGTTTAATACTTTTAATAATATTGGAATTATACCAAGGTGGATACTTGTGACAATAATTTTTGTATACAGGTATATGAGTATCAAAAGTGCTGTACAATTTTTCATAAAAACGATCTACTGCGATATCTATATCATCAGAATTCATAGTCGAAGTCCAATTTATTGATAGGAGTTCTCTATACAGTGAAGGAAAATCGGCTTTTCTAAAATTGTATACCTTATTCGTTAAATTGTAGCGAAATTTAGCCTCCCTTGCAAATAAATTTAGTATACTAATTAACAGTGCTGGATGATGGTCATCCTCAGGCACCATAGGCGTGGTGTCATGAGCTACTACACAAGAGTAGTGGGATATGACCAAATCAAGCAACCGATTTAATCCATTACGGACGTCGTTATACTGTCTGAGATTAAACAAGGCCATATAGTTAAGTACAATTTCTGTCTTAGCATCAGAAGGGTTGTTCACAACAAAATGCGGGACATTAAAATCACCCACTAGGATTGTGCTATTGTTGTTTAAATAATCCAGTTGCTCAAAACACTCAAAAAATGACTCAAATTCCTCAAGTCCTATTTTGTCAGGCACATACAAAGTGGCTATATAAAAAGTTTTAAATTCTACCTTACACTTAACAATTAGCAGATCAATATACGGAAAATGAGTATCAAAAGCTGCTACATCTATCACTTCTGAGCTTATAAAGTCCTTTATAGCCAATATAACACCCCCACCAGACGATTTATTAACTCTATCAAATTTACGGTCTTTTCTGTACACATTATAGACATTTGGAAAAAATTCAGAATCGGAAACACCATCACTTAACCATGTCTCAGTTAATGCCACGATATCAAACTCACACTCACATGATCAGCCTTGCTGTTCAGACCCCGAACATTTTGATAATACATAATACTTGTAGAGATTGGAAGCTAGTTTGCCACTGTTCTGGTATAACCTATTTGGTTTCAACTGCTTCCCATGCAGTTATAAATATTGTCTCAATATTTATACAGTTGATTGAAACGGCCACTCTTAGTTCGAAATAGAAACTCATGCAAAATCGTATGAT